GATAAACTAAAATAAACAATTATCTGAGACATTTTCCCTCTTATTCTCATATTACACTTTCTTTTTCTCAGCATCTGAACAAGAACAACAAACATTAATAGAACTTATCAGTAAATGTTCCTCTCGACTAGATGTCTATAATCAATTGTTAGAAGAAGAAACAACTAAACGTAACCAATTAGCTCTTCAATTACGTGCTTTTCATATTCATTTAAACGAACGAATTTCACAGGCTAAAATTGAAGTCGATGTAAGTGTTATGTTAACTATTCTATTAACTATAAAAATAAGCAGCATAGCTTATGTACATTTGACCTAGAACAGCCACACTTTCATTTGAATCAGAATTGCCTATATTGAAACAGTTGAAGTAGGATTCGAACTATAATGTTTCGCTTAGTTTTAATTATACAAGCGAAATGATAATTCATTGGATAATCGTACAATCTTTTTTCGTTTCTTGTAATTGATATGTCTTGTCGATCGAATGCTACTTGTTATATCTGGTCGTCTCTGATTGTTGTGTCGAAAACGCTTATCACTTATATCCAAAACGAGGGACCTCTGCAATTCCTACGACGCAAAAGTAAAAATACAAAGACTGGTATAAGTGAAGATTTATTGACCCCCAAAACACGACGACGACAACCCTAGTCGAAAACACACTCATTTATATATTGTTTGTACATACACTTTGATTAATAATTAGGATAAAATCACACATATAATAAATAGTTATGACAAATAATATCCTGAGCGTAGTTCATGTCAATTGAATACACGAATATCGTGAGTTATACGGAATAAAATATCATACGAGAAAACAAAAAATACTGTATTGAGTAATCATTACATTTAATCAAAACGGAAACAATGTTGAACAAAACTCATAATGAGTAAATCAATCGAATTTTGACTTTTCTTCCCGTCATATCACCTTCTCTTCTTTTTTTGAAGACTCAAAGTTTAGATCTTGACTTTATTCTCCCCATCGAAAGTGTTGTGTCCTCATATTCCCAAGTTACAGTTAGTGTGACTATTTAAAACATATTTCCCGCAGTGAATAGAGAGTTCATTAGAACTGACTAGATGGTGAGGATCAACAGCACTTGATATGAGATCATTAAGGTTTGATTCCTCTGAAGCACTTTCATCAAATTTCTTGCAAATCTCATTGGTAGATAGTGGATCACTAGAATAATCGGCATCTATCAAAATTTCATTAGGTTCTTGATCATCATTTGATGCATCCGATATATTTTTCTCATTTTTGTAAGAAAGTTGATCAAGAACATGTGAGTCATTAAGATAATTCATATCTAGTAAAACAACTAGAGAATCCCGATAAGTAGGTTCATCAGAAACTGTTGTCGTAGAATAATGAGCTCCATTTGATGCAGCTGTCTTCATTATGCTGCTTGATTCATTTTCTATTTCTTCGTGGGTGGGTACTGCATCAATTTTATGTGAATTTAACAAGACATCGTCCTTCTGTGAGCTGTACAGGTCAGCGTTTGTACATTGTGTTTCGGGGACAATGGGATTTGAACCCGCTACAGGGCATGTCTCTGAAATAGACGTCTCTGGACCACTGGGCGGATCATGAATGACTGCTACTGCTTCGCTTACATTAATGCTTGTCAAGGATTCATAGAGGCTTTTATCGACACATTCATACATTCTGTAATCATTTTCCAGCTCTGTACGCAATTTAGATATTAGTTCATTAACTCCTGTCACATCTCCAAAGCATGAATGATTCAGCAGCCGTGTGTGTAATTTGTCTAAAACTTCCAACTGATTCTTTTTAAAACGCTGCTGTTGTCGCTGAAATAGCAACTGTAATTGATCAGAAGGGAGAGCCATTTTCTCTTTCTGGATGAATCAGCACGGTAATAGGAAATACAGCATGACAGTATGTCGTTCAAGGACACCGACGACAATTCTCTATGCTGATTATCTTGGATTTTTTCACACCGTCGCCACTGATATGTCTCAGTTATATAATTGAATATTATAGACAAATTATTTATTAATTCTTAGATAATCACCTAGCTTATTGCTATTGTTTATTGCGTCAAAATGACTTACAGTATGTTTTGATAGATGATTTGTCGCTTACTTTCCATCCTTTTGTTAAATGATACAGTTTCTCAGTACATCTGTACAACTATATATTTACGATAACTAGAATTCGTGTTTTTGTTACACTGAAAGGAGTACCAAAGAAGTACATTAACCTTATAAAGGCTCTCTACTCGAACACAACTGGTCGAGTGAGAGCTTATGGCGAACTGTCATCAGAATTGATTACCTCAAGTGGTGTTCGTCAGGGCTGTCCACTCTCTCCATTCTTGTTTAACTTGGTCGTTGACGTCCTTTTAGAGATGACACTTTCCTCATCTAAATTTCCAGGAGTTGAACTTCTACCGGGAGATCCACTTGTTGACTTAGAATATGCCGATGACATAGTTCTATTTAGTGAAGACGCTGACAAGATGCGGAGTCTGCTGATCACTCTAAGCAACAATGCAGGCATGCGATTTTCTCCCTCGAAATGCAAAATGTTGCTTCAGGATTGGGTTGCGTCGATACCCGAACTAGTGATAGGGAGTGAAGTAGTTGAGCGTGTCGACCGCTTCACTTATCTCGGAAGTCTCATCAGCCCTTGTGGTTTGGTGTGTGACGAAATCTCAGCACGGATACAGAAGGCTCGACCAGCTTTTGCCAACTTGCGTCATTTGTGGCGTAGGCGAGATATCCGTCTATCAACCAAAGGACGAGTTTACTGCGCAGCAGTTCGTTCCGTCCTACTTTATGGCAGTGAAACATGGCCAGTAAGAGTAGAGGATATTCGTAGGTTACTAGTATTTGATCATAGGTGTCTTCGAAACATCGCTCGTATATCCTGGGACCATCGAGTAAGTAATGCAGTTGTTATGAAACGGGTACTAGGTAAGGATGGCAAATCAATTGAGGAAGTAGTGAAACTTAATCAGTTGAGATGGCTGGGACATGTGTTGCGCATGCCCGACCACTGACTGCCCCGACGTGCTATGTTTTCTGGTGTAGGAGTAGGTTGGAAGAAAGCTAGGGGCGGCCAGACCAAAACATGGCACAAATCCATGAAGTCACTGACAAGTGGACTGAACGATGTTGGTAGATGTAGACTACCTGGTTGGGGACCGCGAGATGATAGCAACCGATGGTTAGAGAACTTGAATGACATGGCTCAAAATCGTTTCCAATGGCGCAGATGCATCCAATTTCTGTGTTCTCTCAAACTCTAATCTTCTGTATTCTTCATGTCCTTTATATTCTTTCCTAATCTATTCCACTGGACTATACTCCTTAAATAACATCATCAAACCCTAATGTTCCCTATCACTACCTCTACCACTACGGGATTTGAGACGATAACTGAATCTCTGTGCTAATTTGGTATGGCAACTCGAACTGATGTACGTACGTACGAAGTTCCACGTTGTTACTGACTGACTGACTTTTGTTACAATTTAATTGCATTAGTTTAGTCAGCTGGATTATGATTTATGGACGAATCAATCAGATTTAAGATAGCACGTCTTAGATTTTGGCGCGAAATTCATTCACTCATTTGGCTAAATACCATTTTGGCATGATAGTTTATGTCAGTTCGTGGTGAAAACATTAAATCTAATTCCCAACCCTAGCGTTCAATTGTAAATCCTAATTCCTCACACTAATATATAACCCTCATTTAACCTTAGTAAGTAGGTTAACATTCCAAGGTGATTTTACCTTTGCTCAAAGGTCGTCCATAAATTACAGTCTCACCGTTTAGTCTCCCATACCCCTGTTATGAACTTCGTAAAAATGTTATAGACTGTCAGTTATTCAGTCGGTCGGTCATAATCAATGTAGAATGTGGTATATCATCTGTCCATCAGTCCTAGTTATTACTTCACATCAGAACAACAAGATGACTGTCAATGTAAATAGACGTATTAATAATAATATCAGCAATATAAAGTAAATAAGGTGGAAAAATGAATTCACGAAATAAAATGTGTTAAATAATTTCTAAACTTAGAACCTGAGAAAAAGCAAAGAATGAATTCATCTGCACAACTGCGATTGATTTTAAGCCATGTTACCCAACATTATGGATTAGAGATTTTATAGATAAATGAATGGTTTAAAAAGTATTATAAGAAATGCTTAGAATACCAATTGATAACTCCTCACGATAATGAAATTGTGTATGTAAACCTACGAATAAACTCAACTTGAAAAATTAAACCACTAACTATAAATATAGGTCGTTTATCTAGTAAATAACATGTTTCTATGGAAAATATTAATATAAAGATAAATATGATTAGGTTATCACAAGCGATTGGAGAATAAAAATTTTGTCGATCACTCACTTTCCAATGAAATTAAGACGTGGTTATCGGGCGTCATCCTTATTTATTACACCATATTATCAACAGTATTCAAATGAAATTTCAATTGTATTACACTTTATGAATAGTAAGGCAAGAAATGTGTCGAAAAATTACTGTTAACCAGTAGTAATAGCGTTCACTTACATTCTCAATAGTGTCTACAAATTACAGATCACTATATATTTCGATTTTAGGTGGTAAGAGGTAGTAGGCATAAAACGCTAGACTAAGGTTTCGTGCTAGCCTATACCCGTTATTAAGAAATATCTAGAATGTAGACGTTAGTTCGAATCCCACAAGAACCATCAGTTCTCCCTAAACTGCAGGTACGCCTTCATGACAAATGCCAACTAGTATAAAGCTTGAGTCCAAGGTTTCTTCCCCCACTACCTTGAGCAACATTACAGCGTGGTCGATGAAATTTCAGCACTACTAAAAATCTAGATAAACGTGATATTGCGCAGTACTCAGTGATTAGTCGTTTATAAAAAAGTCGATCAGTTCGTTCCCTATTCTTATTGTCTACGTCAGTTTACATTTATTGTTGTTTGTCTTATTATTCTTGCATAGGACTTGAAATCGAAATTAGATCATGGTCACTCATTAAAAAGTGAACTGAATAAACATATTTTAAATCTTCCTGATCTGCATCTTCTACCTGATATGACAAATTTCGGTTTAGATCCGTTACCAACAGTTGGTGATCTATTCGGTTAAATTTCTAGTCTCAAGTTATGTAATCATCAGTTCATGTAGTATTGTCTATCTTCCTTCTTGACTTTTCTATATATACCAGTCCAATGTATGAAGCTTAGCATTTTGTAAATATAAATTTTATTTCTAATAATATGAATTGTGTTTTTCCATCGAGTTTATATTATTTGATGTATTATCTGTGTATGCCTGTTCATATGTTCGGCTCCTCTTCAATTTCTTTCACTTGTATGTATGATTGAATGAATGAGTGTGTGTATGAAACAGTTCATTGATGATTTCTTTTCTTTCAATAAAGAAATGTATTTAAAACTTTCCTTATTATTTCATGAGCTTCACTTGACAACCCAGTTTAGTAAAGTAAAAGTCTACTATTGAATAACCTTACCAGTATTGTTTAACTTCATTTAGTACCTAATACGGAATATTATTAAAACGAACTATCACTGACTTTCAGTTTATTTTGAAAACACTAGTTAATATTTTTGGTTGAAATGGGAAAAAAAGCTTTTTAAGGGTAAGCACATTACACTAGTTTTCTATATAGCTCCCTAAACTATGAAATCCTACACCAATGACTTTAACTTCTGAACATTGATTGACTGATTAGGATTTCAGTTTATAGCTTAAATTAAAATCTGTTGGTAACTAAATTGTGCGGTAAAAGTATACTGTACTGATGACCTTGGACAAATTTTCACTCAATAACCAAAATGCCGACTAGTTATAGAACAATCAACAATACAAGGCAATGAAATAACAGAGGAGTAATAGCTTTAATCTGAATAATTAAACCTCATATGTCAAATTATCACCTTTAGTGAAGTAAATAGGTCAAATATACACATATAAATACAAATTAAGAGTCGGGCTAGTATTATCACCTCTTAGAGTTTTCGTCACTAACTGATATCAGCGATAATACAAAGTGGTTATGTTAGGTATTATGAGTTTAGCTGGAGTTCTGAGATGGGTTTATAAATTCGGGTTAAGGTTTTCTTCACGAACTGACTTTAGCTATGAAGTAACATTTTGTCAACCTTCTGTTTATAAACCTAGTAAACTTAGAGTTGATAGTTAAAATAAGGGTTTGTGGGGGAGAAAACTATCTAGCACCATAAAGCACTATTGACTACGTATCGAATAATCGAAATCACCGTAACACACAATCTGTATATTTTTCATAGTTTAGCTTGAGCATCATCTTAAGTTCAATTTTAGGTTGCATGATAGATATTTTTGTTAATTTTAAGGACCAAATATTGCCAATACGTTTTACTTTATTAATAATAACATACAATATATCTATCATCGCACTTTAAATTTCGCGCAAGATATATGAGGCTTTATCTTAATTCTAATTGGTTAGCCCAACATCATCAGTACACTATACTTTCACCAATTCTGCCCATTGATGAGCAATGTTAACCAAATTGCAAATTCAAAAATGTCGGAAAACACTAATCTCAAAACCAAATACTTAGCTATTAGTAAACTTGAACGGCTCCTGATAATCCTGAAATTTTATTGCTTACACCACAAACCAGCTTTAGCTAAGACAACCAATAGGATCTATGAATCATTAGACAACTGTTTCGTTCCAGTAAATCACTCGAGCAGTGGACATCTACAATCCATCAGTAGATGGAATCCGGAACCTCCAGGTCTCACAGCGAGCTCTTAACCTTTAGATAATCGTGGGTCGATTAATGTTAGTAACTGTCTTGCTCCTAAACTCAGTACCGTTTACCTATAAACACTTTTTAAGCGACCTTCAAACCTAACATGTTATCTCTAAATCTATTAATAAGAATTCCACTACCTTCTGGCATCGATACCAAAATGTTCTGTTTGTAGTAACACAATTTCTGAAACTTTGTAATATGTTAAGATTATTGACCTTTGGAAATTGACGTACCATGACATGTTAGCCTGCATTTCTTGAGTTCATTCTTGTCAAGGTTCCAAAACTTGCAGAATCCACTTAGTTGAATGATCAATAACCTTGTGACGTGAAGATAATCAGATCTTAAGATGAAATCAACCTGCTTTGTTATTAATTTCATTGGCTAAACTGACAACAATAAAATATACCTTTTCAATTGCCATTTCTGTCCGAAACTTGTACCCTCTATATGTATTATTATAATCTATCTATCCGTAGTTGTTACCACCTGTAATTCCAATCGCTATCATGTGTTAAATTCATCAATTAGAATTCCGACTATAATTTCCCCTATCTTCTACTATTTCATTTATAACCTGGTGTCCTAGACTGTACTAATAACACTTATGATCTAAACCATTAATCTTGAGCCAACAAGCTGGACTCCTATGAGCCCAATATTCTAAAGCTCTTCTCTATGCTGCGCTTTGAGTTCAAAAAGTCAACAACCAGTTTATTTAATTTTGAACCAAGACTCATACAATAATATACTTGAAATGATTGACCACATGGAACACCGAATGCGAAACCATACTTTAAACAAAATCATACCATAAGTGTTAAACACGATAAGTAGCAGGAGGAATCCATATTTATTGCGAAAAGTTAAAAAGTATTTAAATAATACACATACAAAGCTTCAATTGTCCATTTTCATCTTTCGGTGTATACTTCCATCTGAACTGTCTTCAAGTGTTATGCCAACGCCGTGCTTTCGATGCACTAAAACTCTTCACTCCGTCTGACAATTGTAGCAACTTCGACGTCACTTCCTGCAACGAACTACTTACAAGCAATCTTGTGAGTAGCGTCCTCTACACTGGTAGACGGAGTAAACAGTGCATACTTAGTTAACAGTAACTAAGAAATAATAAAATGTATAGCGACATTTAATAAGTCTGCTCAAAGCTTACGATAGGGGAATGTAGAAATGCAAAAATACAGTTATCTAGTGCTTCTGCAATAAAAATATAAGTATTAATAGTCCGATAAGTAGGACCTAAGGTCCCAATATCGTCCCATTATAACAGCTAATTTCATATAAATGTTGTCAGCTTTAAAATCGTCTCACACCTTCGGTCACTAAGTCTCCTGTTCAAACCACGTTCTACTTCGGTTTAGGCAGCTCACTAGCCTTCATATTTAAAGTTTGACTCGAAGCCAAATGTTGTAATCTGCACTTGGCAGTGAGGTAATGCTAAAACAAATTCTGTCCATCCGTTACTCATCGTTGATATGCTTTTCTATTGTTAAAGAATTTTTCTTATAATTTAAATCTTCCAATCATATTACTTAAAAAGTAGACAACAATTTTTGGTGCATGATTCCCACTGGTCTAAAATGAATAGACACAAAGAATTGTATGCAAAACAATTTCAACATAAGGAAAACAAATGGAAAGATTTACTACACAAAGTAAGTTATGTTCTCTACAACAAAGTTCTTATGATTATGTCTTGGTAATGTTTGAATATGCTGTTAATCTACATGGTTACTTCTGTTGTTATTTGTGTCATAATTACTATTATTTCCTATGGTTAACACTAATGATAACGAAATTTATCACTATAGTATAGTAACTGCCAGTGTCCAACTCTATCGGGTAAGTAATAGTGAAGTTAGACGCAGGGTATTTGGCGATGATGCTAAATTAGTTGATGAAATTGTAAATCCTCATTGACTGAGATGGTTGGGTCGCGTGTCATGTATTCCTAAACACCGATTAGCATGACGTGCAATACTGATAAGTGTTGGAGACGGTTGGAAGAAAGTTAGGGGCGGCCAAACCCAAACGTGGCATCAGTCCTTGAAGTCAATAACTTCTAATCTGAGCCATGTTGGTAGATGCAAACTACATGGTTGGGGTCCACATGACTATCGTAACGATTGGTTGGAAACTGGATGACATGGCTCAGAATCGACCACAACGGCGTCGGTGTAAACACTCTCTGTCTTCCCTTAAACCGTGAGATTAAAATTACTTTATACCTTTCTTTCTACGAAGTAATTCTTTCTTCCTGTATTATATCCTCATATGCAATCTCTCTTTTATATATTACTACCTTTGAAGTAAGTACTTCTATGAATTTGTTGTTCATCTTGTGCTAATGAGGTGTGGCAACTTGGACCGATGCATATATGTTCCTGGTCCTACGTTGTAGTTGACTGACTGACTAATGAGCTCTACAGTACTTATTATCAGGCTAGGCTCACCCAATACAGTATGTATTGGTTGTCTTTGAACAATCAGTATCATTCTTCAAGGAATTTTGTTCGATTTTCTATTCTAGCTTATAATTAGATAAAGATGTGTCCGATTCTTCAACAAAAAAATTATACACATTACTTCCTTCAGTCTTAATAATACCGGGTAATAATCTAATTTTTGCTGGATTAGCTGTAACCTTAAGAGCCCAATGATATGTAGTATTTCAACACTTAGTATTGTCATATTTTATCTGTTTTCCTGGTGTAATATAAGTTTTTGCAACATATCAATTACACTTCCTAAATGTTTGTCATTTAGAAAAAACTGAAACCTTAAGCCTCTCCAGTTCGTACATTTTGTAGGAATAAAAGTCATTATCTGTAACAAACACTTGTTAATCTGTAAACTATCAACACATTCAGTTCTGATGATCAACTTCTGCTCCAGTATCAACCCTCATAGTTCCTTGATAATTATTAAATTATAAATAGGACTTAACTGAGAATATACTGATAACCCTATTGATATGTAACTCATTGTAATCACTAGTTAGCTAACAACTATCCTAAGGACTTAGTATCAGAATATAATAGCTTCCACAGTTAATTCGTCAGATGGTCTGCAATAATATTTATTTTCTTTAATTTCTTTACAAATTATCAAATTTGTTTTCTTATAATATTACTCTCCATTAATTGCCTCTTATTATTGTGTCTTTTCATTGCTACTATTTTGCAATACAAGCGTTTTATGGAATCAATGAAATTGAAACGTACACATTTTATCGATCACCTTCGAAACATATACAATTCAGAACCAGATAGTTTAACCGATCAAGTACTTCTTCAAGAGAAAAGAGAACTTTTAAAAAGTTTGGTCTCAGGTAGTGAAGTATGTAGTGTATTTATCTATTTGTGTTTATATTCCATTATATGGTTATCACTATCTATCAGTTAGCAAAAACGTGATAACACATCATTGTTACTTTTAAATTTCTCTATTTTTTTATCTGCCATCAAATATTATGCAACTTACATACCAAATATAGATGTAAGATTTCTATAGTCTACATAATCGACAAGCCGTATATATATATATATATATATATATTACTTCTAAAATATATGTCCATCGACCGGGAATAATCTTAATATTAAGTTGTAGTAAAAATATTTTCGCGAACTAATGAAAAAAAGATTATTACTATCGGTATCAGATTCTACATTTAACAGTCGTTTCTTTTTTTTCTCTCTTTCCATCTACCGTTGAAAATCTCCCTTGCCTCCTCCCCCACTTACCAGGCGGAACAATTAGATCTGGATAGTTTAATCTTACTACAAGACAGAGTTCTAGATGAATTATCTGCTGGTTAGTGGAACTGTTACTTTTCATTAAATACTTCTTGTATTTTTACCATTTTTTTCCGTATTTCCAAACTACATTTGATTTGTATTATGTTTTCATGGATATTAATCCGATTATGAGATAGATGTGGGAGATTGGTAGCTCTGGTGTATTGTTTTAATGCAGTTTCGTTCTCTGAACTTGGTAATTTATTTGTGAAACTTTTAATGTCCTTCTAAACAACATTGTCAGCACAAAATTCTGGAAGTTGTGTAGAAAGTGTAGTTGTTCTTTAATAGAACTAAAGTTTTTACTAATGATGTTGTAAAATGAATAATGAAAGTTCCACGATTACATCATCCAGCTCAGATAATGAAACTTCATTAAAATCTGATTATTACAGGATTGTCTGTTTGACTATCTGAGCTACTTACGTAATATAACTTTTAATATTCTTTTACACAATCATCTTATTTGCAAGGGTTTGTACCTTCCCATTGTCAATGTTAAGGAGTGTTATTTATTAATTTATTTTAGCATACGTACGTCCCGAGTGAATTGCCCCTATATCGCCTTCTAGTTAGAAGCTTTTTCTAAAGTCGAATAGTAGCTAACAGTAGAATTCAGGACTCACTTTTTGTCCAGTTGCACGAATTAGATGCTATCAGGGTTCAGTGTTGTGTAGAGTTATGTATGTTTATCTAGTTCTTCTTAATGCTGATCGAATTCTATCAGTCAAGATACAATGTGCTAGTAACTAGTCTACATGACTTGACATCGTGTGTACTATGCTGAAATAGTAAATGGTAGTCGGAATTCGCTAGGATACCTTGAACCTAGGTTTTTTGCTAATCGATATGTCAGTAGTGCGTACCTGCAGTCTTCAGAAAACTGATGTGTTCCCTGTGGGATTTATATTCGCGTCTCCCTGCTTCATAGTTTGAGATGTTTCAACTAAACTATTTAGGCCTCCAGCTAGCCATTTAAAAATACTTTAGTTACACATATCTTAATTCTTGATGAGTAAATTACAACCTGCACTTTGGAGTTAAGTGCTAATTCGTTTGATCGTATGCTATCCGTGGAATACAATACTACATTTTATGACTGTCTTTTTAGAAATTGAGGAATATTTCAACCCAGAATTTTGGAATAATACAAATAGTAATAATAATGGTGCAAATCAATTTCATTTTCCAAATGAATCTAACAGTGAACATGTTCTTTGTCCTTTATGTCGAATGTAAGTTGTAGTTTATGCGAATTGAATGTTATTCGAATTCAGTTTTTCTTCTCTGTTTGATTAATTAACTTGACCTTGGGTGGATGCATACGATAATGACTGATGATATTTAACAATATTAATAGATATTTAATGTGATTTACCGGTTATATTCGTCATAGATATTAATCCCTTTCAGCTTAGATATATTAGTCAACTCAACTGGTTGTGACTTACTTGAAGAGATTTCTTAAACTTCTAGTGATAAGTGGTGACTTGCAGAGTCTAGACACGTTGGGAGTGGTAAAGTTGTCACTGATGATACTAGGTGATCGTTGCGTTATATACCGGATTGGTCGAAGTGGAAATTGTGCCAATGAACCCCTACTTGACCAATCTATCTAAAGAGTTCTAAATAGGAAGAAACTTCCATACTAAATTTCACTGCCACTGTAGTAAACAGGAACACCATTGGGGACAGCCGGATGTAATTGACAACAAATTACAGTACTTGTTAATAAAATCTAACAATCATATAGTAAATCGTTAATTTGCAAAATATCAATCCATTATACCAAACTGGGCTGTTCCTGTTGCAAACATCAATCGATTGTCTGACATTTCATTGTTCATGAGTTTTCATACAAATTGCATTGTGTTTCCGCCCTTCCTTTCTTGATCTTCCCCCATCTTCTGCTGCCAGACATTACGTTTTTAACTCGCGTCATATACTACTTATATCTACATAAGTAGCACACACCACACTATTACTATTACCTATTCTATAAAAAGTTTGAAAGAAATAGCTACATCGAGGTTGACGGATAATAGATACAAGTATATACCAACAAAGATTGATCAAAATTCTGTCCTTAATATTAATAACAGAATAATTCAAATGCCTAACTAACATTAATGTAAACCTCACTCCAGTTTCAAACAAACAGCTAATTAACTGGTAATATAAAATCAGAGGATTTTTCAGTTTACTGACCATAAATAAAAATCTTGAATATTTAACTTCTGGAAACTATTATACTCAATAGGATATTGGAAAGATTGACAACTTAGTCTTTGAATACACCAATTTGGTTTAAATCTTTTTTATGGCTGTCTGGTCTCAGCAAAGTGCATTAAATTTAATGGTTATCTCCATATTGAATATTTTGAAAGATTTTGAGATATCAATACCTCATGAACGTGTAAATGACAAGAGATCGCGTTGTTGAAAACATATTATCTTATTGTTATACTGGAAGCTAGCGTAAGTCTTAAATCTTTAGTAGTAAGGATAGGGGGTCAAGTGACGTATGTTAATCATACTTGGAACAAGGACTCGCTGCTTGAATTCCATATTCCAAGTGTGACCTTACAAACGTTGTGTATAATACCCTAAAAATTTCTTAATCTACATTAAGAAATGACCTACGAATAGTCCATAACGATCCTAGAGCTTTTGGCAGCGGTAGCCTTACAGTTATTCGTAGTTCTTAGGTCATTGCTAATTGTGACTGCTAGATTTTTCGTATCCATTTCTTTAGACAATACCATTCCACTTATTGTGTAGCAGTGCAAATTCTGTAACTACCTACAGGTCCATTAGTTTTACTTGTAGCTAAACTAACTGTATGATTATCAGATTTGTTTTTCGGCCTAAAAATCAAGATCGGTGAAACCCCGTCTTCGTACATAGGTGAATAGTTAGAACAAAGACGTAGAAACCCTTAAAAAAAACGACTTCATCCATTACTAGTGTTACCGAATATGTAAAGAGATCCCATGGGGGTTTTATTTCGTCTACATGCAGGCTACTCAGTTGGAAAATATTACCAAAATCAGATAATCTGAATGTCTTTAATTTCAGTCCGGCATTGTAACTCCCTAATTCTTTTCTAGACATACTAATTTAATTTGAACATCACCGCTAATTCATCATTCTTCTGTTCTGTTTCTAGTGGCTATTTATCTATGAATAGTACAATTCTCACTTGTTCTTCATGCAGTCTAAGTCTAAATACTCAAGTGAGTAAACCGTTATATGCTTATGTGTTTTTTATTACTAAAGAATATATTGTTGTTTTCATAAAACTTCACATCATGATTCCTCACATTGTGTTAGAACTGGTTTTAACAACTTAGAAGAGTGATTATAGAACCTAAAGAACAACTGCTTGAACCTTGTAACAAAAGTCCTTTGTGCAAGTAGTTCTTGATGCGATAGCTTCGTATATTAAAGTCTTTACCGTTGATGACAGGAATTTGTGAGGCAGGATGAATGAGGTGGATTTTTTAAATTGCCGACCCATTCTTCCCATTGTGAAAAGACACCATCACTCCAGATGCTAGTTGCCTAAGATGAACTCTTTACTTTTTTCACACTAAAGTAGTTATCAGTACGATATCCCACTCACACCCCACGTCTGCTACTTTTTAAAGACTTTTTTTGAGAAATTAGTATCCAAGGGTATATTATCAGTGTTAAACCTACTCGATGATTCGTACCCAAACGATTGGGTAACACGTGAAATATCGAAATCAAAATACAGGGCCATCACTTGTGATAATGAAAAACAATAGATTTTGCACAACCCAATTCCTAAGCTATATAAAGCATTTAAAACTGTCAAGCTATGATTACAAAAGTGTTTCATTCATTAGTTACTCGAGAATTATTTACGGCAAACTAGGTAACAGCTGCGTTGATTTACTGAGAGCCGAGAAATTGACACGAGAAATAAGCTCAAGAATTATGGGGCCTGTTGCAAATAAGTAAGTGCCAGTGGATACATGAGAAACGAGCGTAAATAATTTCAAATGTTAAAAGAATACAATTACAATAGTGAACCGATTAACTATCACATCGAACAGGTAATTTCAGTTATTGTTTTGAAAAATAGTTGAAATTTTACAAATTACTGAATTTTAGTCAGTAGTATACGTAATCTACAAAATTTAAAAGTCTCCGCCACCCTACACTGCTAATTATGATGTGCTCACTAGTGACCAGCTTCAAGATGGATTTCGTGGAGTTATAGTGCGAAGCTGTGACCAGTGGAGTCCAACCGTGTCTAACGTGAAGCAATTACTCACTGGCGAAAATGAGGAACGGTCGTGCAATAGCGTGAATCGGTTGACGTGAGACATCAACACCGTTGGACTCCGGTTAAGTGGTCTAGAGGTAAATCGTTTGTGGGCGAAACCGAAGGTCATTGGTGCGAGTCCTGTCTGCGGGGTTGTGGATGCGTACTGCTGAGGAGTCCCATACCAGGACGAAACGAACATTCAGTGATGGTCTAACGTTGATCCATTCATGATATCAATCAAAACTCAACAATCTCTACAACCCTGTACTGAAAAAAAGTACCATCATAAGATGGTAATATGTGGTATAAATAGCTAGTAAACACCCATTCATGATTAGTATGTGAGGAATTTGTAACGATTGTAAAATTTCCGTTGTCTATGTCACTAATTGTTCTCAGCCAGACTATCATTGAAAATCTAAAAAGCACTGATCGGTCGTTTCATTCTAGCTCAAATCATTTCGTGATTTAAAATAGCGAAAAGTCACTAATTGTATTTATGAAACGTTTCTTTCCTCCTAAAATTTCTCTCGTTGTTTTTCCTATTCCAGACCGACAGTCTCAATCTTACCACCATAAAAAATAGTTTAATTGATGCAGAAACAAATCACCAGACTTCCGGTTGTTGCAATACATCACTACATGCTTGGCTTATCGATCAGAATACTATTAATTGTCAATCATTTACACAAATTGATAATTCGAATGTTAATGACATGCTTCACAAATCAACAGAAACTGTCCAACTGTTATGTGTTGGATGCGACCAATGTTCATTCATGGAAGTTGTTGTTTGAAAGAAGTAGATAATTAAAGAAATCGAATTTTCATTCCTATTATTTATTTATGTGTTTGTTGGATGCAGTGAACGACTGAAACTGAATAACTTCCAATAAATGCCCAATTGATTATGTTTTGTTCTTTCTTCCACGTTTTTTTTTATTATCATAGATCATTTTTGTAATGACGGTTATGGACACATTTACAAGGTTGATTCATTTATAATGTGTAGAAAAAGCTTTCTTCCTGATAATGATGTTGTCAAAACCGTCGATGATACTTTAAAAATATTTACTTTGAAGTAAATAAAAGGCAAGTCTGAAGAAATCTTGCAGTGTTGTTTTTGTTTAAATTAATTTAAAACTGAGACAGATATTTGCCATTGATATTGGAAGATCGTTGTGCAGTTTCGCAAATTGACTAGTGTTAGGTGTCTAAACTATTGGATGCCTATGGGTAAAGTTTGGGGGATGGGGTCAACAACCCCATCCTCCAAATGTCGACCTTGCTAAGATAACGCTAACCGGGAAAAAATCATTTGTACAATTTAAACTCCACCTGGAGAGTTGAAAGATCTTCATGTAGAGTAATTAGGATGCCTCAAGGTGGAAATTAACATTCTGAAGTCACGAGGACGATGCTCTTTCTAACAATCAGATCAACAAATAATATATGTTCATGGAATGTCCGGACAATGTGGGAGACTGGGAGGACCAATCAATTATCCGCTAAAACGAGGCGATACAAATTGCGATTTTTGGATTAAGTGAAACCCAAGCTGGACGGAAAACATTAGCTTCGGGAACGTTTTTGTTGTATTCTGGTCATGAAGAAAAAGATGCTTCGTACACACAAAGTTGCACTGGTGTTTTCCAAAGAAGTACGGAAATATCTTGGATCCAGGATCATACAAGCATTCTTCAAAACAAAGAAGGAACACAAAGGGTGAGAGACTTGAGAATTTGTGTTCCTGCGACAAACTGGTTATAGGCGGTGCTATATTCCCATCAAAAGATATATGAGTCTAACCGGATCACACTATAGAGGACCAGATAGACCATATTTGCTTCAATAAATGAATGAAGAGAGGAAATGACATAGCTGCATGTCTCCACTTGGTGGCTGCGAAGATGAAAATGAAGCTGAAGAAACACTGACCAACTGGGGAAACTGCAGTACAAAAGTTTAATACAGCCTTCCTTTGAGATAATAATAAACTCAAAGAATTCAAGATCGCTTTCAACAGCAGGTTCCAAGCGTTACAAGATCTACTCAAATAAGACGATATTATTATGGAGATCAAATGAAAAAGGAACAAAGAAACAATAACTTTAACGTGTCAGGAAGTCATGCGCCGCAAGAAGCAGCATCGTGACGAATGGATCTCTATGGAAACCCTGCACAAGATTCAAGAAAGGCAGAACAAGAAGACAACAATTAACAACAGTCGAACAAGTGTAGAGAAAGCCATGGCACAAGCCGAACACACAGAAACAAACAAGAGTGTGACGAGGAGCATTAGAGCCGAAAAGCGAAGTACGCAAAAAGTATCAATAGAAGAAAAACCAGAGACCGATCAACGACAAAGAAGGAAAAACAATCACTGAGATTCAAGAACAGAGGAACAGATAAGCAGAATACTTCGAGGAACTCTTGGATAGACCAGCTCCACTGAATCCACCGGATATCGAAGCAGCATACACAGAATATCCTATAAATGTCACTCCACCAACGGTCGAAGAAATCAGGATGGCCATCAGACAAATCAAGAGTGAAGAAGCAGCCGGACCTGACAATATACCATCCGAACCACTAAAGTCAGACATGGAAGCAACTGTAAACATGCTTCACACTGTATTCAGGAGAATTTGGGGGTATGAACAAGTGCTGACTGACTGGAAAGAACGATGCCCCATCAAAATACAAAAATTGAGATCTAAGCGAGTGAGAGTTGCAGAGGTATCACGCTACTATCAGTATTAGAAAGCGTTTTCAACAAAGTGTTGTTTAACCACGCGAAAGACACGGTACACACCTGGCTTCGAGATCAACAGTCTAGGTTCCGAACGGATCGGTCGTGCACATACTAATTCGCGATACTATATATCATTGTTACGCAATCAACTTAATGGAGTTCGTCACCATACACCGACTTCACTGACTAAGAGAAGGCGTTTGACAATGTGAAGAAGGTGAAGACTGTTTTAGTGTACTGAGCTGAAGCTTGGAGAACGACCACAGTCATCATCATGTTGTGCCAATCATAAATCTAATGACAAGTGTATGTCATTGGCCAAGAAACGGTTCCTCTTTTCTGAGGAGTAGTTTTGGGTATATGACTGTGCGATTAAGTATTTGATTTCGTTTAGGCCAATTAAACTTCATTCTCCACTCTTAGTGTTCTCACTCAGTAGTCGGTTGAGGACTTGTGTATCAGTAACAAACACGAACATTGTGTCATCACGAATATCAAATGTCTTCGTAATTTATGTATTCCAGGAGTTTTTTTCCAGCTTCTTCCTCCAAAAAACATTTTTAAAGAAGGTTGTAATGCTATCAATTTTCAGATGACTTACTGCAACCTCTAGGACACCTATTTTCTATATGTTCAAAAATTACCTAATAGCGTCCAGTACTATGTCACGCTTATTCGGATTATTCTGGCCTTTGGATGGGACGATTAATTTATTCTTCTTAATCGATTATCCACATATTTTTTGGCCTTGTCAGTTATTTGCTTGTAACTTTTACCGTTTTTATCTGAGCGCCTATGTCTGTATCGCTTACTCTATTCCTCGTATATCTTTTGCTTATTCTTCTGTCTGACGATAAATATTGAGTCATGCTTTATAAAATACAGTCGGAACGCTCTTTTCCGTACATACCTTAACTTTGGAGAAAAGCGTTCTTTTGTGTTCAAGTTGCTATGTAGATTTAGCCTGAAGTTATTAGAAGTAGAAAGTAAATGGGATCGAGGGTTCATTTAACAGACTTAACAACCTATGAAGTTTCATGAGAGTTAACGCTTTTTGAAAACGCTTTCGAATTAAAATTAATGATATGTAATTACCACTGAGCTTCTAGTGAGTAACGTGAAGGTTAACAGTAAAAGTAAAGTTCGCAATTGAATTCCAACGCGATTGTGAGATAATAGGCATTATTCCGAGTTTGGGTATGAATTACTGAATCCTTAAACTTGTCATAAAAGAACGAATATTGTAAAAGTTGTAACCAGCTTTTTGAATTTTTATTAATCATAATGACTAGAATACTATGTATACATATTCCATTTATCATAAGCTTTTGGTTAACCCATTAACTACGATTATGCGATATACTATTTCTAATTTGTTGCCAATCCAATACTTACAGTCTCTCTTATTCATGGCCACTCTTGTCTTGTTTATGCATAATTGTATCATTTTATGCCGTGACACGGTCCGGCATATCTATACATAAACCACTTCTGCTTGAACCATAATATAGTAAATATGAATATAACTATACACAGATTTCCAATTCGTACTCTCGCTAATTCAGTTCGTTTGACTGTGTAGATTACTCTGAAAAATGACTAGTAAAGTAACATGACTAAAAATCGCGTAAATTTTCTCATCTTGAACTGAATAATATTCTGAGATGAATTCAATAATTCTTCATCTTATGCAACCAATATAACCTACCCCATAAGAATAAGTGTTGGCTACACACTATCAGCAACAACCTACTGTGGGAGAGAACAAACTAGATCCCAGCGGAAGAAATCAGGATTAAGCGCTGGAAGTGGATAGGTCACACATTGAGGAAAGCACCCAACTGCGTCACAAGACAAGCCCTCACATGGAATCCTCAAAGCCAAAGGAGGAGAGGAAGACCAAAGAACACATTACTTCAAGAAATGGAGACAGACATGAGAAGAATGAGCAAGAATTAGATAGAACTAAAAGGGAAGTTCCAGGACAGATTGGGTTGGAGAATGTTGGTCGGCAGCCTATGCTCCATTGGCAGTAACAGGAGTAAGTAAATAATAAGAACAAGTAAGCTTATAGATGCATATCAATTAGTTTAATGTATTCATGATATATAGTGATACCAATCAATTAGAAACTATTTATTTCCAAAATATCAGTAACAACAATACAGAAATAACTTCAACAGCAACAACAAAAAAGAAACGTACAATAAACCTCTTGAATAAATAAATCTTATGTAACAATATAAACAAATATTTGTTTGTTTGTTCATTTATTTTTTAAAAAATCTAATATAATTAACCCGTGAAAAGTGTAAGAATGGTAAAATAAAACATCACACATTTAACTTTGTACAATGAGAAACAGTCAATATTATTTTTTTCTTTTACAAAAGTACGTAAAATATTTATTATTATTCTTTTTTTTAATAAAAAATCTACCATCGAAAGGACGCATCGTTGTTTACCGACAGAAAAAAAAACGTTTTTTTCTATTTTGTATCTATTTATACACTGTAAACAATAATTTATATTTTTGTCTGGAGTTGAAATGATTATTATTATTACCATTATTATTATTATTATTATTATTATTATTATTATTATTATTATTAGTTCACAACCTCTTTATTCTTTGTAAACTATTAAAAATAAATAATAAAATTGTTTTCTTTTCTCAACAAAATGAAAGTACAAATAGTCTTGTTATTATTGCCTTTGTTTATTTAGGTTAATTAATTTGAATACATATTAATGGTTTTTTTTTAAAAAAATGTTTTCATGGTTTGTTTATTGATTGTAAGACTAAATATCAAAACGAAGTAATATAACTGAAAATATGTTTTTATGTACTATTAACATGTTTTTACTATTATATATAAAATGGGAACCCTGGAAATAGATTTCATACTAATTGGCAATCGTTAGTATCAGAAGGGGTTGTGAGATAATAACTCACTGAAGACAATGGTGGATGTGTCGCTCAGTTTTGTGGATTACTTGATGTTAGACATTAACACCGTTGGATCCCGACCAGCTCAGTGA